CTTAAAATTTAAAGTTAAACAGTTCTGACAAATATTCTAAATATTTTCTCTATTCGTTTAACTATATTTCAATATATATCAACCGGGGTCTAAACATAATTTGATGTTCTTGTAGTCCAAAAAAACATAAATCCATTTCAGAAGCAAAGTATTTGTAACTTCTTTAATCATTAAAAGTTTTCCACATACTCTTTACACTACAATGTAATGAACTTAAAATTACATTCTGATAATAATTTCTGAAACACGCTATATAGAATTCCCACATTCTTTAAAATGTGAAGTATAATAGTTTTAGAGAATAGTTACAGTTCTTTTGCTATTCCTTTAAAATATATTTCAATCTATATCAAAATGCATTCTTAACATATTAGTTGATGTTCATGCAGTCTTAAAACATAAGTCCATTAGAGAGGCAAAGTAGTTTTAACTTCTTTAATCATTAACAGTTTTCCACGTACTCTTTAAAGATGAAGTTGAGTTCTGGTCATGCGATTGCATTGTGAAAGAAAGCTTGTGGAAGCGATCAGTAGAGGTTGATCATCTAGCGTATTATTAGTGTGCACTGCAAGGTTCGGGAATCCTCAAAATGATAAGATATTTGGCCCAGACTTAGTAAAGTTACAAGCACTCTATACAGAAAGATGTATATGGGACTACACGAACATGTGGCATAAAAATCAGTCCCGATTTTTAATAATGTTACGTGCCATAATTAGAATATTAAGGCATGCAAAGAGCCATGCTTCTCAGGAAACAGTTTTTATCTAACGTTCTTCCACACATGCGTAATAAAATGATAACGCTCACAAATTATTTTTCACTTTTTCCCAGAACTCAACCTTCTCTTTAAAATATAACTCAATGAACATGGAATGACAGTATGATATTAATTTGATATACTTGAAGTTTCGAATGATTACATTCTTTAAACTGTAAAATATATATAACAGTCTTAACAAATATTTACAATTCTTACTCTATCCCTTTAAAAATATATGACAATCTATGTAAATGCATTCTTAAGAGAATTTGATGTACTTGCAGTTTTAAAGCGTAAATCAATTTCAAAACCAATGTATATATAACTTCTTTACTCATTAACAGTGTTTCATATTATACTCTTTATTACACTACAATTCAATGTACTTGAAAAATGACATTCTGATAATAATTTCATATACACCCAACATAGGATTCCCACATTCTTTAAAATATACAGTATAATAATCTTAATAATTATTTACAGTTTCCCACATAGGCTTTAAACTATAAATCAATGAACATGAAATGACAGTCTGACAATAACTTGAATCATCACATTCTTGAAAGTGTAAATTATAATAGTCTTAAAGATTCAAGATTCAAGATTATTTTATTGGTCCATGCATGCAAACATTACATAGAAATTTTGCTTCCAATGGCTTTTTTGACAGTGAAAATACAAATGATAGAAAATGTAATATAACATTTAACAATAGAAAACTATGTACATAAATATGGATAACTGTTTATAGTGTGCATTATGCCCCTCAATTTCCTATTGCCTACATTTAGCATGCGTCATAAATTAAAATGTCTCATAATATAATATAGTATTTCTCGTCACCACCCCCCCCCCCATCCGCTAGCTCCCGATCCACAGATGGTTTGGATTTGCAGAAAAATAACAGTAATAAATACATTTACATTCATATTTCATAATTATAAATACGTGATATAATTACGCAACACTTTTACAGTAAAATGAACTCTTAACGATTGAAAAAGTTAAGTTAAAAATTTACCGGCACAGTCGTATGAATAAGTAACATGCGTCATAAATTAAAATGTTTCATAATATGATATTTCATTTCCCGTCAGCTCCCCCCCCCCCCATCCGCTAGCTCCCGATCCACAGTCTCCAGCTATCCGTTTAATTGCACTTCAATATCAGCTATTGAAGTGCAATCAAACGGACAGCTTGAGTTCTGGTCATGCGATTGCATTGTGAAAGAAAAAATGTGGAATGGATCGGAAGAGGTTGATCATCTAGCATATAAGTATTATAGTGTACTGCAAGGTTCTGGAATCATCAAAATGATAATAAAGTTGACCCAGTCTTGGTAAAGTAACAAGCACTGTACACAGAAAGGTGTATATGGGACTTCACAAATGGTGTCTGGGCTAGTATACCTTGATTTTGTTATCTTTCTGTGCTCATTACTCAGCCAGTATATATTTTATACCAAAATTGGCAAATGACATTTATTTGTAATCTTAAACATTCAGTGTAAGTTTCGTTTGATTATGTGAGAATTGTTTTTTTTTACCAGAACTCAAGTTTATCTTTACAAAGTATTTACAATTGTTGTTTTATCCCTTTAAACTTTATTTCAATCTATGTACAATACAGTTTTCAGAAAATGTGATGTACTTGCAGTGTAGAACCTTAAATCTATCTAAGAAAGCAATGTAAATTTACATTCTTAATTTTTTTTTTACAGTTTACTACATACTCTTTAAACTATTATTAAATGTACATGAAATGGCCTTCTGGCAATAATTTGATGTACTTGCAGTTTCTAATCATTACATTCTTTAAAATGTAAGTATACTAGTCTTAACAAATATTTACATTTCTTTCGTCATCCCTTTAAACCATATTTCAATCGATATCAAATGCAGTCTCAGGAAAACGTTATGTTCATGCAATCTAAAAGCATGAATCCATTTCAAAATCAATGAATATGTTACTTCTTTAATCATTAACAGTTTTCCATATAATCTATTCACTACAATTCAATACAATACTCAAATGACATTCTGATAATTATTTCATATACGCCAAATATAGAATTCCCACGTTCTTTAAAATGTACAGTATAATAGTCTTAACAATTATCTAAAGTTTCCCTCATACTCTTTACACTACATTTCAGTGTACATAAAAAGACATTCTGATAATAATCTCAAATACGCGCAGTATAGAATTCACACATTCTTTAAAGTATAAAGTATAATAGTCTTAAGAAATATTAATAAATCTTCCTCTATCCCTTTAAACGATATTTCAATCTATGTACAGTACAGTCTTAACAACATTTGATTTACTTGCAGTGTAGAACCTTAAATCTATTTAAGAAAGCAAAATATATGTAAATTCCTAAACAATTATTTACAGTTTTCCACATGCTCTTTATTCAATGAACATGAAATGACAGGCTGACAATAATTATATGTACTAGCAGCTTTTAATCATAACATTCTTTAACGGGCAAATTATAATGGTCTAAACAAATATTTACAATTCTTTTTTATCCTTTAAACTATATTTCAATCTATATAAAATGCAGTCTTAGCAGAATTTTATAGAATTTTATGTAATTGCAGTGTAGAACCTTTAATCGATTTAAGAAAGCATGATGGTATATGGAAATTCTTTAACAATTATTTACAGTTTTACAAATATACGGTGCAGTATTGAATTATCACAATCAGTAAAGTATAATAGTCTTAACAATTATTAATCATTCTTCCTCTATCCCTTTAAACTTTAATTCAATGAACATAAAATGACAGTCTGACAAGAATTTGATTTACTTGCAGTTTTGAATTATAACATTCATTAACTGTAAAATTAAACAGTTCTAACAAATCTTCAAAATTCTTCCTCCATCCGTTGAAACTATATTTCAATATATAAAAAATACAAACTTAACATAACTTGATGTTCTTGCAGTCTATAAGCATAAATCCATTTAAAAAGCAAAGCATGCGTAACTTCTTATGTTATTTACAGTTTTTCACAATTTTCTGTATACTACATTTCAGTGTACATTGAACGACATTCTGATAATTATTTCATGAACGTGCAGTATTGAATTAACACATTATTTCAAATGTAAAATATAATAGTCTTTAAAAATCTTTACTTTTATTCATCCATTCTTTGAACTATATTTCAATATAAAAATGCTGTCTCAACAACACTTGATCAACAAGCAGTGTATAATCTCAAGTATCTGTAAGAAAGCGAAATATATGTAAATTCTGATATAGTTATTAAACAAATACCCTCACAATGTCGGATACTAACTTTTTTTTTACAGATTGCATTATTTATGTTTAGTCTTCACCATTGCGATTTGCCTACTGCTTTGAATGCCCTTTTAAGCAAACCAAAGATGGAATTGCAGTTATGATTATAAAGTGATATTGCTTTCACATATTTCATTAGAATTATGGACTAGCAATAAAACAAAATTGTTGCCGATTTGAAGAAGAGATGTTAGAAACTTAAGTCATTTAATAAGAAACTCCTGATATGATTGAATGAATAATTATGAAAATTTGAATATTTTGGTCATTTATTCAATACTATTGGATGTATTATTACATTAAAGTGTTTTTCCAAATTTGTATGATTTTGGATACACAAGTAAACGCCGTGTTGCCAGATTCTTGGTAGTATTTTGTCTGTGAATAATTCACAATGTAACCAAAACCACGCAAGATGTGTTATTTTGTTGAATTAGGCAATTCTCCTTGAGACGGTATAATAATAATGATGTATAACAATATCATTACTCCTACTGCTACTGATGATGATGATGATGTTAACAACAATAACACTGATGATGATGGTTTTGATAATGATACCAATTTTCTAAATTATAAGGAGAAGGAGATGAGGCAGGGGAAGTAAAAAAAAAAAATAAGAAGAAAAATAAAATAAAAGAAATATAAGAAGAAGATGAAAATGTGGTGGTTGTTGTGGCGGTGGTTATTTTACTTGACTGCTAAGAAAGCATAAATGCTTGTAAGTAAGCAACCAGACGGTCGACGGCTTTAGGTCCTCTCCGAGGGACCCGGTAATGAGGATTAATGCCTTACCAAAGGGCACTAGTGTATCGACTTGGTTTCGAACCCGGGTCACCGGATCACGAGACCACTGCTCTAACGACCGAGCTATCGCGCCTCCCAAGGTAGTGCCGTGCCAAGTTTGGAGGGGGGGGGGGGTCAAACCCAGGACATTTTCATTTATTTCACTAGAGTCAAGTTTTCAAACCAGTTTTCTTATCCAGCTTCTCAAGTATAGCCTGCATTTGCTTTTTAAGTTGCTCGTTACTCATGTTTGCTTCACGATGTATATCCTGCATTTGCTTTTTAAGTTGCTCGTTACTCATGTTTGCTTCACGATGTATATCCTGTATTTGCTTTTGAAGTTGATCGTTACCGCTGGTTGCTTCAAGTTGAGCGTCAAGGGTAATCTCAGACAGATTATAGAGTCTATTCCGGACTTCGTCGATTCTATCCATCATTCCATCAATCTTCATATCGGGAGTCTTCGTGTAATTAACACGCCCCGCCTAAAATGTATTGAACAATATAATATTTATCATTGGATGAAAAATACTTTTAAATTAATCGACAAGGTAATTTCCATTCCTTTAGTGAGTACTTTCGAACCCTAACAGCGTTCTTCGTTAGCCTGAGACCGTCGTAGATGGCGTTACACAGCTTAGAGAGAATTTGGTTGAATACGTTTAAAGGGACTTGGTAACATTGTTCAGATGAGAGAAAGTGTTGACAGATTTTTGAAAAAACAGTTGGGAGGATTCAAAAATGGTTGGGAGAATTTACTGTTAATCACTGTTTAATAGAGGGTGTTGCACAGTGATGCCTTCAAAGAAAACCATAGATATCTTTGTGGTTTGAGAATTTGTTCAGGTTTTTTTGCATGTCAGAGGAATATTACCGAGTCACTTTGACAGATTGTTTTAGCCTTCTTCTCTATTCATAGTGTAGTCACTGCTGATTCTTATGTTGATAGTCTCCCGTATCTATCTGGCTGGCTTGTGGTGCTCTTTGGACAATATTTTATACTTGTCTATTAACGCCATTGACGACGGCCTTAGTCTCACTAAAAACGCTGTTAGCGTTAAAGTACTCACTAAATGGTCGTATAAAGTTTTTAACCAATACACTACCAATCAGATAAGCTTTTTTCAGGATACTTTATCATTATTTCTGAATAACAACATAAAAAGCTTTGCCTTTTATCCATTTATCGGATGTTCTCGTCGGCTTTTGAGATTACACGACCTTTCTTAAAAACATAACCCATATCCACAGGAAGAAGAAAAAACATGATAGTACTGTTTTTTTTTCCGAACTCCCTAGACATATTACCAACCAGTCATAACTTTCCTTATATACAGCGAGCTAAATTAATCCCATTTAAAATTTAGTATCCTCTACTTATTAACCGTAACGGGACATTGCGTTATTATCCTCGCGAGATTGTATTATTTTTGTTTAAAGCAATGAGGGTACAGAAAACCAGGATATTATAGTTTTCCCCAGATCATCTAGAAATATTATTTTCTAGTCTCAGGTTGTCTCTTATCTAACACTTAATTAATCCCGTTCTCAATAAAGTATACACTGCAACCGGACGTTATTAATGTGTAATTGCGAGGTCGTATTATTGTTTACAAAAAGTGAGGGCACATACAAAACCAGGATATTACCCCGTCCCTCGGATCCTATAGAAATATTAACAACTATTCACAGGATTCCTTGTATATAACGACTTAAATGACAATTTGTATTGATAATCAACCTTCATTTATGGGTCATTTATAGCTTCATTGCTCTTCAATCATAAGATCATATTTAGTTTTGCTTTGAGGGTTACAGAACAAAAACATTATTACAAGTATTGACTATTTCGTATTAAGGGGTAAGGAACAACAAGTAATTACTGCTTTCTCTAGATTCTCTATAATTGTCACTACCTTGTCATTAGTTTTCTTGTATCCAGCGAGTTGATTAATCACGCTTCACATTACTAATCCGTTTGGAACATGCCTTATTTTTCTATAATCGCAAGATCATATTAATCTTTTTTAAACAATGAGAGGTGCTATACCAACAAATAAAATATTACCGTATATTTCTAGATTGTAATAATAATATAGGCCATTTTTATAGCGCACATGTCCACCACAAATGATGCTCGAGGTGCTCCTATACTACCCTTTCTCTGCTTGGCTACCGTTTAAGGTGCTCACAGCATTGAAGTAAATGTTCTTTTAATAACGGTACTCATTTAGCACCTGCATGGCAGACAGTGGACAAGGTACATTAATGACTTAACTAAGGTCATTAGTGTCGCAGCGGGACTCGAACCGCGAACCACTGGCATGTGATCCACGGTCCAACGACGTATCCTCTATAGACCATGACACCTCTGAGGAAGTAAATATAAACAAATCACCTTTTTGAGCTTTTCCAGAAATTCCACCAAGTAATCATCTGTGTATGTATTACACATGAAGCTGTAGTAGATGGCGTGGAATGGGGAGACATTCTTCGAGTCCAAGACTGTTATCGTTTTGTATTGCAATACACTTTCCTCCAAATTGTAATTCTGCATGACCATGATCCCTTCCGCCTATAAAACACATCAAATTTCAAGTGTCACGTTTATTTTCTTCTCATAAAAAGACAGCAACAAAAAATATATATAAAATATGAATAATAAACACATACACATAAACAAATACTTGAAATAATTACACCATAACCGATTAAGCGGGGATGGAATTAATTGAATTAGGAGTGGAAGAATCTGCAGAGGCCATTGTCTCGTCAAGGGCTAGCTACATGTTTAAGTTGAAATAATAATTATAAAAATTGAAGGGACAAGAAATAAAATAGACGATTATAAAAAATATCATAATAATACACAGCTTATGAATGCGTGCATTTATTGCAGGAATTTCACAAGGAACACTTTGAATTTCTTTAAAATAAGGCAAGTATATATAGAAATCAGGTCAAATTGCTCACAAAAATATATTTGTCTTCAATGGCGTAGCCGGGGTCAGCCCCCCCCCCCACTCCCCCACACTCCATTATGAATGGAGTAAGAGGATACATAAAGATTAAGAATGGGAATAAGGAAACGGTACAGTATGTATACTGATGAGAACAGCCTTGCTGTGTACAAGGATATCATTGCTAATAACATTATTATATTTCATAACCCTTGCATTCTCAATACTAAACCCGGGGCCTTATTCTGCCGTATTTCATCCATCACGTTTTTGCGTTCCTTTATACGAGGCCACATTATCATTGAATTAACACACAATTTGTAGATGGAGTCCTTTTTTTTTATATTTGTGGATATGGTCCACCATAAGCAGGTTGACTTTTCAAGATTTCCCTCCTGCTTTTTGTACACACTACTTAGTATTGAACGTTGATGGCGTTAAATAAAAGTGTGTTATACACCGTTTTCGGCGTATTTGTGCATAGTTTCCGAAGTCATGTATGTAATATAGCAATAAAAGAAAAAAGTAGTTCTGTTGCCAATTTGTAGAACAGCATGTGATTAATTAAGCTTTAGAAAAAGAAAAGACAGCAGGAAAAACTTACCTCAATAGTGTGTTTAATAGTGTTGGCCTTTTTCCGTATGCGGGCAATATCATAGACTGCCAAACCAGTCTAAAACGTAAAGTCAAAGAAGGATAAAATTATCAGACAGCAATCAGTAAATAGGTTATTAAAGTACCCTTAAACTTCAAATTTCTTGCTCTTTCAAACATATTTTTTTCTTCACACGCGAACATCCTTCGAAAACTATCCTTATGTTTTGAAATGCCTCACTATCAAGCGCAGGCCTACATAAAGTCAAATCCCCTCTCACCCTTTCCCCCACAAAAACATAATTAAAACCCCTATTACACATAAACACACACACACACACACACACACGTGCACATGCAGAAAAACAACAAAGTTATGTGCTGCGAATATTATACTCCTTACTAGGAGGTTCATGACGACCATCGGCATGGTTAAGAGAAATATGATAAAGATAACATGGGTAGTGTGAGGGTAGAAGACTACGCTTGTGAAGTCCTCAGCAGCAGACGGCTGGTATAAATAGTCCATGGGATGAAAGACTGTATCAAAGTCTATTCCACCGGTAAGCATGGTCAGAGACTTAACTAAGGAGTCCCCAAATGTGTGATACTGCGTCTGAGAATAGAAATAGAAAAAAGTTGATATTAAGAAGAATTCTACAATACGCAAAAATATAGTACACATGTTATGGAAATGTATCTAAACAATTTGTATTGTTATACTGTTGTAACGCTAACATCCAACGTCTTTTTTAAATTTGAAATCAGCTATTGCTGTTATTTACATCTATTTGGCCTGTACACATAATTCAACGTATTATGCTCGTAATATCTATTTTTGAAGACTATATTAATGTATAAAAAATCCTTTGCGGCCTAAAGCTAATAAGTCTACCTTTCACCAGAGGCTCCTCCATATTACACTCTCCTTTTAGTTAAAATTTAAAATCAGCATTGCATGCAAACTACCGGTTTTAAAGGTACTATGTCCCATTTGCAGGCCAAAACAAATGAAAAGGTTTACTTCCAACGGCATTTGAAAGACAATATTATTTACAACTTCCATAAAAACGAAAGGGCTCTATGAGTGGGGAAAAGTGAGCCATAATGCATGGTCATACAGAGAATTTTGTTATGTTCGGAACCGTGGTAAAATGCAATGAACTATTCAAAATTTATTGCATTTTTTATTTATTTTTTATTTATGGGAACTGCCCCCTACCATAGCCCCCGCTGCGTTCAGTCATGGTTCAGTGGCAAAGCAATGGCCTCGTAACTGTGAGGCTCCAGGATCAAAACCGTGTCGATGTGCCATATTAGTGCCTTTTTATGGGGCATTAATCCTCTTTACTGTCATCTATGACTTAAGGGCGTAGGTCCACTAGTTGATAAGCATAATGGCATACACATGCTTTAGCAGTCACGCAAAAGAAACGCTGGCAAATTATTAGTCAATAAAATCTAAGAATGTATACTATTATCTAGATTTATTAGGAATAAATCATTGTCAAAATAATTCCATGAATTGGGGTAAAAAAAAGATATTCCAACTATATGACTATGAGCGACAGTGTCAGTTGCTGAGTGTTTACGTGACAACTTCTCAGCCAAAAGGATGATCTCTAACAAAGAGAATAATTTATATACCTGATTGATGATAAGGATGCAGAATACCACAGCAAAGGTGCAAATAAAGATTCCAGCAACAAGCAAAAATTTTACCATAGTCGATATAACTTCTGTAAAACAATAAGTAGAATAAAACAAATATCTCTGACTTTCAAAAGATAAAAACGAGGTCAATGTTAACACACTATTAAATACCCTGTAGAAAACATGCTCAGATTAAATAGCGATATGATTTTTCGAAAGAATGGAGAAAAATGGAGAAAAAATGCAATGACAAGGGACTGACCATTCAATCATTTGTCAAGATACGGAGCTGTAAAAAGGAAACTTCACTCTACGAAATAGTTTAATTTAATCTGAGATATTGTTTGTGTTATTCCCATTCAACCAAGAAGATTGCCCACCAAAGTACATGATAGAGATATGATGCAAGATGTCGTTATCGTAATGTAAAGTTACGATATGTCACGATAAGGGCATCTCTATTTTATTGATAACGTGACGTACGGTGCGAAGTTGTTTTATCAAATAAACGTATTGAAATTTATGTTGTAAAACTTGTTTATAAATACCAAACAAGGGATACAAGAAAAGCGGTCTTAATAGGCAGGTGGTCTTCATGCACAGGTCTTTTATGTACAAGTAAACGTTTCAATGACAAATATAATCAATGAATACAGAAAATTAGGTCTTTATAGACTATTGGACTTTCTTTACAGGATTTCGCGTAGACAGATTTCACGAGGAGGCGCGATTGATCGGTGGTAGAGCAGTGGTCTCGTTACCGAGAGGTCCAAGGTTCGAAACCAATTTACTGCGCTCGGGTCCTCTGGTAAGGCATTCATTTTTATTACCATGTCCCTTGGAGGGGACTTAAATCCATCGGTCCTCTAGTTTTCTTACCAGTCAGGTGAAACAACAATCAACCATCAATAATCAACTGTATAATTGTATTGGTACCTATAAACATGAGAATGTAGATGCCGAAGAATGAAGCAGTTTTCAAGAAAAACATGAAATTAATCCAGGCTAAGAGAACTGCATATGCACCTAGTTCCCATTGCCAGTCCTGCAATAAAAGAAAGAAACAAAAATTATATTTTCTGGTTGTTCGTCCGTCCGTCCGTCCGTATCTCAAGAACCAATTGATGGATTACCACCAAACTTGGGTCATCTATGTAACTTACAGAGCTAATGAATTGATTAGATTTTGGGGTCACGAGGTCAAAGGTCACAGAGCTCATTATGTATGCAACAATAGCTTGTGATCGCGTTACCTCAACAACCGATTGATAGATTACCGCCAAACGTGGGTCATGTATGTATCATTCTGAGCTAATTAATTGATAATATTTAGAGGTCACGAGGTCAAAGTTCAAAGATCACAGGGCTCATTATGTATACAAAAATAGCTCGTGATCGCGTTATCTCAAGAACCGAATGATAGATAACCGCCAAACTTGGATCATATATGTATCTTGCATAGTTAATGTATTAGATTTGGAATGGTTGGTAAAAAGTCAAAAGTTGTAACAGCTCCTCATATTACTTTATGTATTGTATCACTATTCTGCAAACTTAGTAGAATGAGGAGGAATAGTAGTAGTAGTATGAGGAGAAAAGTAGGAGTAGTAGTAGTGGTAGTAGTAGAAGAAGTACTAATAATAGAAGTAATAGTAGTAGTAGCAGTAGTATAAGTAGAAGTTGATTTTGTTTTTGTAGTAGGAGTAGTAGTAGCTGTAGTTGTAATAGTTGTTGGTGTTGTTTTAAAATGTGAGCGTTTTCTTATATCGCTTTTGATAAAGTTTCTATAATGATCAAAGATGATAATGTAAAACTCACGGCTTTTACGGTAACACCGTGGCCAAAGTAGAGATCACCAAACACCGGTATGACGAACAGAATGATCAAGATTAGGAGAGTGAGCTCTCGGACGACACTTAGCAATACATGCATCCAGTTAGACTTTGTTTTCCAGTACAACCACCTCCTATATAGCTGAATAAAGAAAACAAAAATAAAAAGAAGGTAAGTTTGCGATCGTGTATCTACTTGTTTTATTATTACAAAGCTTACTATGATAGCCCTTCTTATGCACATTTGTTAATGAAAAATTAATGGTAGTATGCCATCAGGTGCATTTACATTATCATTATATTGTGTACACTTTCAAAAAGTTTGTTGTAGTTTATATATGTCGTATCACTAAAATTTTATATGATTTGTGTGTTGCTGAAGAAATAAATTTAATTAAAATCTATTCAATTAGCTTTGTTGTGAGCATGTGGTTTTAATCAAGGGTGATTTTCGTTTATCATATACAGTCAGTCTCGTTCCTCTCATAACTATTTGTATAACTTCCTGTTCATGCTGATCTGCAGAATATTAGTATGTGATTGATTTTGTGTGTTTATTTTCATGGTGTTATCCATTTGTATACATTGAATTTAATTGAATCTATTGAACCGTAGACATATAAAAATAAAACATACCACCCCCCCCCCCCCCCAAAAAAAAGCATGTAACACACCCAATACAAAGTGAATAATAATTTATTCAGAGCCACACAAAAAAGCTTATTGCTTACATATTATACAATGCGAAGAAAGAACAGAGTAATTTTTTTTTTCCTATTCCATTTGATATAGTTATAAACACTGTTTAATGAAACATAATGTGGTTTGGAATTTAATTAGCTATGAGAATAATTTATACCATAAGACGTGTTAAAAAAGATCTGATTTAATTCTTCAATGTTTGACTCTTTTATTTTATCTTGTTGCACTTTAATCGTATCTTTGTCAATGTTAATTTTTCTGCAACAGCCTGCCAAAACAGTTGCGAAATTCTCCGATTGTATAGGGCCTACCAACTACAAAACGAATAACCAACGACACAGACATTTTCCGAGACATATACATAAGCTTCTCGAGCCCCACTGTTCAACAAACGACAGTGGCGGATCCAGGGGGGGGGGGCGAGGGACCCGGCCCCCCTGGAATAAAAACGTGTAAAAACACGTGATTTTTTGCTTGGGGGGGGGGGGATGCCCCCTCTCTTGCGCTCAAGGGGGGGGGGGCAAATTTTCAAATTTTCGAGCACAAACAAAAAGAAAAAATGTGCTCAATACCCCTTCGCGAGATGTTTCCGATACAAGCCTAGGTATCAAAGCATATAGAATACACAAGAAGTCTTACAAATTCAATGAAATAGATGACAGTTAGCACGAGAATGAGCCAGGTCCCGATCGAACCAAACAGGATCAAAGCGATCGGGTCCAGGTCCTCCTTCCACTTGACCTCTCCATCAGCCAACCACGTGTAGTTGCCCCCTGATAGGTGTTTTTTAACATAGTACGGTGGAGGGATGATAAGGCTATGGAGTGTCAGGAAGACTAGCAGTGTGAGTTGGATGAAAAATCGGAACCAGTATTGGACACGAAAAACTGTGTGCTTGTACTTAAACATCACACGAACTACAGGGTGGTCCAGTAACTCCTTACTCTTATCATTTGCAATCTGGAAAAAATGCAGAATGGTAGTTATTCGAGAGAATCTTGGTTCCATCCGTGATTATCATTGCTATGATTATTTTGTAAATAAATCATGACTTTCCAACAATTGACCACGCTGGTTGCTATTTTGTCTGATATTTTCTATAACAGGTACTGATTGCTTATCATATTTAGTTGTTGTTGTTGTTGTTGTTGTCAGTTTTTTCGTTATATTTTATGCGGGGCGTTTTGTATCCCCCACTCACTAATACCTAAGAAAAAACACTAGGGCCCGTCTTTTGCTTATTCAGGTTTCACAAAAGGAAAAACTACTTTTTTGAAAGTCGTTGCGATCAACTTTTTTCATAAACCCGATATTGGACAAAAGCCTAGAGCTAGCATCAGATTTTGATTTTCGTAGAATACAGTTAATCTCTCTAAGAGAAAAGAGTTGCGAGCATGTCTAGTGTTCATTTTAGTTTCAGTTTTCTGTTTTTGTTTCGTATTTCGCATAATTATATTTAACCTTTTGTAATGATCTCCCAGCTGCCCTAGGGCGCTCCAAGCATTCAGGGAATACATTTTATGTCAGGAACCCATTTACTAAACCTGGGTGGAGAGGGCCAAATGTGTACTTATTATTTTTCTTCATCATACCATGTGTTGCAAAGGATGATTTTTGGAGCGGCATAAGCGATCTGTGACATAGATACTGGCACCACTTTTCAATTTCCCATATTCATTGAAGTTAGAAGGCACCTACAAAAATAAAAAAAATAATCAACATAATGATATGAATCTGCAAATTTGCTTATAATATTCATGTTTTCATGTTCGTTAGCGTTACGTTCAATTTCCCCAAGGCATAGGCCTCGCAGAAACCAAAAATAAAAACAAGATGCACACAATTGTTATAAATATTAAAAAAGGCAACTATGTACGACGAGTTTGGGATAAAAAAAAAAATCGCCTTTTATATTGAATCATGTCTTTTATGATTCGATGTTGGGTGAGAGAATCGACGTTTTACTATTCATAATTATTTGCTACAAACAAGAATCCTCCTGTGCTCCATTATAATATTTATCATGGGATAAATAAGCCTATACCAAAGGCTTCAAGATTATATCACTATTTCCAGTACAAGATTAATCTATACCAGTATTAAAAAGTTTAATGAGGAGCAAAACAAAGACCCGAAACAGGTAATTCTCCGCATTCATCGTGTCACAGAAAGCAATCTCTTCGTCATTGGCATGCAATTGGTGACTATTGATTCATGCGATATTGCACGTGGGGTAAACACACGAGTGTGCAGATGCGAAGAAAGTAACCGAACTATTAAAGTAATTTTTGAATCGCCTAAAATTAACAATACTTATTTAAATTCTATTTCTAAGCAGAACCTTTTTTAATATGCATATCATGATAAGTCTCGTGTCAAACTCCCTCAATTAAGGTTTAGGAATATTAACAAATACAAGCATCTCAATCGTAAAAACTCCTCAAATTTGTAGAAAAATATTTTACAAAATTAAAGATTCAAGAGAATTGTTTCGTAATTCTTATCAGTTTTACCTTGCTTTTGTCGTTATCAGGTGATGCAGTGCTGAGATCAACCTTTACCGCTTTATAACCGTTTCTCTGCGTATTCGTCTTGTTGTCGCCGGTGTTCGAATCTGAATAGATAATATGAAACTGTTGATCGCTGTATGTACTGCATAGAAGGTCTGCCTGTGGCACATTGTTTTATCATGGAACAACCTATATAGACCATTTGAAGGCTTCAATATAATTTCACAATACCAAGCGCTAGAATTATATACATAAGTATTAATATTTGTGTTACAAAGTGATCCTTCAGTTAAAGGTGAAATTCAAAGAAAATCACAAATATGTAAAGTAATGTATCATTAGAAACTGGTAAGCTAACAGATGGCCATCGTACAAGTTTTAGGTCAACTACATATCGGGTGATTTATAAAAGTACAAATACAACCACCTCCATAGCAGCTGGGATATACGAGAGATACGCAGGAAAAATAACGATGTTTTAATGACGTCACTATATGGACCAATACTGCCATAATAATAATAATTGCAAAGCTATTATTTGCCAAATAATAATGAGTTTAAGGTATTTAAATAAAATGGCATGTCAAACCATTCAAAAGTGGATATGACCCGATTCTGATAAGTAAAATCTTTTGCTTCTAAATACACAGGATAGGGGTTAATTAACAATCAAAGAAACCAGACTTTCAAATTGAAAAAAACCCGGATTGATATGAAGGACGGCATTTGTTCCCTCTTGATACGACGAACATACCGCGGTGTGTGCAGCTGAATATACAACGGCGTCTTATTTTGTTTACAAGCGACAGATTCCTTTATTTTTGTATCGCTGCATTTGTCATCAAAATAAAACCATGCGCGGGGTTAAGAGTGAGGCAATAGATTGTACATTTAGCCTGACGGTAGTGAAGTAAGAGAAAGAACTCAAGAGAAGATGAAAACACAGGCACTGAAAATGTGTGAGATGTCATGGGACATCGTCTGTTTTGCAAATCATGTCCATACTGTGATCTCACACATCTCAGCAGCGTTCGGAGAGCTCTTCAGGTGCTATGCCGAGGCTGTATTTAAGCGTTTTGTAATTTATAATAATCATTACTTCTAATATTTCCAAGGATCGAATTTTGATAACCTTGTCGAATCAAAGTTTCAACTTTGCAATAATGAAAGTAAATTTAGTTTTTAAAATCAACGAATATCTACTTAAATTGGTGACTAATGTTTTGTGCAAAATTGCAAGTGTGGCAAACGAGTGAACGCACAGAGGCGAGGAAATTGATTTAAGTGTTTATTTTGTTTCTAATATTTTGACGAAGAGTTTATTTGACAGTACATTAATTTGTTTTGATTTGTTAACGATTAAGAGAAAAAGAGAGAACGGTTAAATGCAATATTGACAATAGTTTGTAGTCCAGTCAATAATATAAGCACCTGATTGTAACTTTATGTTTAGTTTCCTTCAGGGAGTACGTTTAAGGTTGATAAATGGCATTGTTTCATCATTTAAAGCCACACTGTACTAGAAGCCCTACCGCAAAATTTCACTCTAGCGCCAGCTTATATCACCGGTAGCAGTTTGGTCCCGAGGAAAATAAAGGTTTTCACGGGGAAAAGTGAAATGTAGAGATGAATTGAGTACTATATACAAATATGCAGTAAAATTGATATTGTATAGAAAGTATGAAAAGATACACATATATAAATATGAATGTTACTATTAATAACAAAATCTTTTGTATCAAGATAAATGCTAACTTAGAATCATCGCGCCGGTCGGTCGTGAAACAAAAGTGGAAGATCATGCTAATACGTACGTTAAGGACGAGACCTTTCGTAAATTTGCCCTAGGGTTTCCACAAAGAGTCGGGTAATTTGAAGCAACCCATTTCTAGTTAAAAGGGATTTATTTCACAAACTTTATCCCGACATTTCGTAAGCATTTACTATGCGTGTTTTCACGAAAGGTCGGGTAACGCGACCACCCGATCCGGCGCGATGACCCGATAATTCCAAATATGCCAAAATAAACACAATCGCAAAGACTTTCTAAAAATCAGCTTTGAGAAATTTCCATTTGCATCAGCTAATGAAATATTATTTCTTTGTGATGACGTTGATTTCTCGAAATTCTGTTACTATAGTGTTTCAGTAATTGTGGTATAATTACCCTCCCTCATCCACTCTGAGTACCAGTCCTCTAGTAATTCAAAGTCCACTTTGATCTTGACATTGCCGAGTTCTATATCTGCAGCTTCGTCTTCCGGTTTGATGCACTTATCCAGCACAAATTTGCAGACACCTTTTAAAAATCACAACAATTATGATAGTGTAACGTGTTTATTTAACCGAGGGACAATATAGCTGACCAAAATCAATCATCAAACATACTGCATCAAATCAAACTGATCTCTCCAACTTAACTGAAGTAACTCAGGACAGTAGATGATGACAACCTCACTCGAAGAAGGATGGAATGAAACTAACTTTAATATCCCAAATTATAACATGTGTCCAAGTACAAACCAGGCATCATTTCAAAATAAACCAATCAGGGGAAGTCATGTGATAAAAGAAACCAATGAGGTGAACAGGCTAGATAGATCAAAGGTAAGAGTCGAAGAGAACGAATGAGAGAAGAGAAAGTGCATGTTGCTAGGGCAGGACAAGGTAACAATGCATAGAGAAAGATAGGACAAAAAAGGAAACGGGTTGGAAGGTGAGGAAGGAAAACAGAGTGCGGCAGAAGTGCAACTGAAAGACTGTGCTGTAAGAAGGTGGATGAAAAGGGAACATGAGCTGGGAAAATGAATATGCAAATGAAGAATGCAAACATACAAATTAATATGAAATAGTGGATAAGGAAGAAAATAAGAAATTTACTAACTGCAATAAGACTATTTTAAACCGTTACAATAGTTTAGTGATTGTTTTAACTGACTGCTAAGACACTACGTATATATGCATGTAAGTAAGTAACCAGGGAACCGACATATTTTTAGTCCTCTCTGAGGGACTTGGTAATGAAGATTAATGCTTTACCCAAGAGCGTGAGCGCATTAACGTTGTTTCGAACCCGGGACATCCCGGTTGTATTCCTATTAAGAACCTTAACACAGATCCCTGTAATTATTTTCCGGTACTCTGCCCGTCATATTAATAACAATAGGCTCAATCTGTCCGTAACAGAAAAAACAACATCTTATCAAGTTTATCGAACGATTACGTCCAAATTAAAGGGTTAAATTACTACCTGGCATAGAGTTGATGAGTTTCCTCATAGGTGTCGGTCTGGGTCCTCCAACTGCACTTGTTGCAACGCGCGTCATAAGGCTTCTCCAATTATCTTGATCGAGCAACTCTACAGCAATCATCCTAAACAAAAATGTATTCATGTTCCAAGAATATGAATTAATTTTCTGGTAATACTATCAATTATTTTCCAGTTATATATAACAATATTTCACTGTTTAAGTATCCTATGGAAAAAGTATACATGAATTATAGAATTAAAATTTATAAATTTCTGAATTACCGAATTTCTGAATGACACGAATGGACCGTATCTCATTCCCTTTTTACACATGGCGTTATTTGGCTGGCTTTGATAGGACTACGTCAGCGACTAGCGTGACTTTTGAATCTTGGTATTAGAGTGACATCGAACAGTGCAAACGTTGCTAGATTATGGTTTTCATCGGCGCAGGTAATAGGGACTTTTAGAATTGCACGTTGACAGCCTTGACTGCAACGTGTGACGTCATTTTAAGGCACTGCGCATGCGTCACGTCGTCTCAGTCGGCGATCGAGAATGCGTCAACCTTGATTTTCCTAAATCTAGTACGGTACTAGTATATGCCGCGTGCGCATAAAATATACAGTTCCTCAGGTAGACAAAGGAACATCCCTTCCCTGCTATTATGTAAAAATGTGTAGAACAGGTGTCACATGCATGTTCACCTGTTCCACACATTTTTACATAATAGCAGTGAAGGGATGTTCTACCACGTAGCAATAGGCCATTTTCGTAATGTAACCAAATTTAATGCACAGGCCTTTGTGAAGTGCCCCAATACAAACTATTTCATTCACCTGATAGGAATAATAGTATTTCAATAGACAGAATCCAAACTGCATACATTATAGTTGTTGTCAGCCAGGTTGGACAAACATTATGGCTTGACCTACCTAGCAACACTTAATATATGCAGTTGCATTCTGACTACTGAAATACTATTATTCCTATCAGGTGAATTAAATAATTTGTATTGAGGCACTTCACAAAGACCTATGCATTAAATTTGGTTACATTACGAAAATGGCCTATTGTTGAGAGTAGAATGAGGAACTGTATATTTTGTCCTCTTTCTTTGTCTCTCATGTTCATAGTGTTACTTCATACATGCATTTATATCGTTGAGTGCAATCTAAACGATTTCTAATTGTAGTCAACATGGGCAGTTGAGTACGTTGACACGCATGGTCAGTTGGCGTTCGTCGTGTTCTCGTCCACTCATTCTAAAAGTCCCTAATAGCGGAGTCTACATAACGCTTCGTGTGAAAAGGGCATTGTCGCAATTATAATGACTCATAGGCTGCCATAAGCTTGCATGCACGCTACCATTATAGTGGTTGTACACGCGAGCAAGCTACTGTTCGCTGCTTCTTGCATGTTTGCAACCATTCGTAATAACTGTTATTGTTCATGTCTATTGTACTGTACCTAGTGTTTCGCACGCGCTATTGAAAGTACTATCGCGTTAATCCGATTATCTCAAAATAAACTTGGCACTGGGGGATTTGCGGCTTGGCAGAATGGGGATTAGCCCTGTGGCACGATAAGGGTTAAAAGCACGGTCTTAAAGCAATACCGAACTGATGACCTTTCTGCCCTAGCGTAATGTTTACTCCACAGCGTGACCTCATCGCCATCTAAGTGCACAAAATGATCTTCTCTATCAGTGGCGGATATTTGGGTCATTTGTACCATGTGCTAACTACGAACTGAGGATCGTTCAAAGATACTTTCATAAGTACAAGTTCGCCGACATCCTATCGAAAAGTAAAGTTTTCTACACGCGTTTCAAAGGGATGTCGTTGAACCTATACTTTTAACGTTTCGTAAAACAATGCCCAGGTCCATTGGAACAGGAAAGACTTAAAGGGATAGTTGAGCTCTGTTTTCAGACCGCAAATGCGTTCAAAGTGCATGGTTATTGCTCTTATTCTTATCTATGACGTTTCTAGTGCCCTTTTAGAACCTAAAATTTCTATGAACGGTTAATTTTAGACCACAAAATGTGTAAATTTAGCCAATACGATCATACCTATACAGCTCCACTTTCCAAAAAACACGGCGACCGTTAATTAATTTTTTAATTAAAAATAACAATACATGGTCCGGCTGGTTGTGCGTAATATAAGCAACACGAAAATGCCAACAACAAAAATACAGCGGCATTGGCTGAAATACGACGTAAAAGCTGTTATTTCGTTTTTTTCCACGGTTTTTTAAAAAATTTTCAAAATATATAATATTTGTTGTGGTACGAAATCGTTATATTTATGGATATTTCAGCCGTCTCTGAACCGATTTTGATCAAACAAAGATGAATTTGTCATTTAAATATTATGTTCTTTCAAATTTGACACTCAGTTTTTCATTATCTCACAACAAAAATTAATTTGTATAGCGCCCTCTGCAACAGAACTCAACTATCCCTTTAATCAAATCATATTGGTATCGACTTACTCTTTCCCATTGTCGATGGCATGGTCTAAGCAATTCAGACCGTCACAATCAAGAAGCCCTATCTTCACTTTAGCCTCTGTCAGCATCTCCAAGAGCATTTTAACGATGTAGATATTCCCTATTCGGCAGGCATACATGAGTGGTGTCATCTAATGTTAAGAACAAAATTTTAGAACAATTAATCTACATTTCCCACACTCCACCGGGATGCGGTAATTGGGTACCTGGCGGGAAATAATTAAATAAAATGCTACAGCGCCATGCTAAAGCCGGAGTAATAATCGTGGAGCGCCAGGAGTGTCAAATCTGACATACATGAGCACTACACAAGAACCCACTGTTATTGCAATGACGAATGTCGGTATTGCTTTGTTTTCGTTCACATTCTGCCTAATTAGGTGGTCTGTTATCAACAGACCACCTATTGATTTCGTCAGAATTTTCTTTATTATTATTATTATTATTAGGTGGTCTGTCAACGACAGATCACCTATTGTTTTCGTCAGAATTTTCTTTCTTCTTTATTATTTATTTATTTATTATTCTTTATTTTTATTTATTGTTCCCACTTTTTTGTTCCGACGATAACTCAAGATCAATTATGACAATTTCGTTCAATTTTGGCACAGTCATAGGTCATTGTCATAAGACGTGACAGGGACATTTTCAAGGTCATCAAGTCTTCATGACGTCATCCAGGCGCCATTTTGTGTTTTTTGGGATACTTTTTACTCATGATCATATCTTCATAACTGAAAGGCATTTCTCATTTATATTTATCATGATTAGGGTCAATATCCGTCCGGTCAGTTTCAGGTCAGAAAACGCGCGCGCATGCGTACGTCCGCGCGTTAGCGCGCACGCAAAAAATAAAAATGCTTCAAATCGTCTCAAATTAATTTTGCATACGTTTCAGGCCATTTTAAGCATTTTGCAAAAAAACGCGCACACGCGCATGAGCGCGCGTTTTCGCGTGTCCTGGCATTTAGCAACATAAAATCTCCAAATTTTCTCCGTCATCATATTTGAATCATTTTGCCAAGCATTTTGATACATTGTTCACCCGTTTCTGCCCATTAATAACGGAATGAGCGTCCGTTTAAGATAATGTCCGTGCGTGCGAGCTATTGTAATACATAGCATATATAGGCAAAAACATGCCATTTTAAAAATCGAAATAGCTCTTCAGATAGTCCGTCGACCCCCAATTTTTATATCATGGTTCGAGAAAACATGAGTTGGAGATATGATTTCATACCACCCTGACTCGTTCAAAGTGAAACAAAGTCATCATATTGGCATCTAAACTCAAACAAATGTATTTTGTTGATGACGTCATTTTTGTCTTTGTTTATTTGAGATTATCTCACTTATCTGTGATCGATTTTCTTTCAGATTTTGATATGTTGTAGCTGAGATAATTCTCTATCAAAATTATGCCATTTATTTTCATTTAGATGACTTCATTATAGTGAAATATTCGATTAATGGCGACAATGCATAATTTGTCATATTTGCGTGTTATGTCTATAGGTCACTTTTTTCAAAATATGAATCTGCATGACAATATGTTTTGACCAGTATCTCGGTTGTTATTCAACAGTTTACTTCCAAATTTTAGTATGTTGTAGCTGAGACTATATGTTATCTAATTCACCCCTCATTTTTTCGATAAGATGTCAGGATCATGCTCATGATCATCAATATCATTAACATTATCATTATCATCGTCATCATCGTCATCACCATTACTATCAAGATCATCATCATCATCATCATTGTTTACATGTCTATATAACTTCTACCTTTTTTCAATATAGTAAATAGTATTATCTACCATCAGACATGAAGACAGACCACCTTATTCGTCCTCGTGACGAATTAAATTTCTAGTTAGGTGGTCTGTTATCAACAGACCACCTATTGATTTCGTCAGAATTTTCTTTATTATTATTATTATTATTATTATTATTATTATTCTTTATTTTTATTTCTCCCCGTTTTTTGTGGCCCGGATAACTCAAGTTTGGTTTAGTTAATTTCATTAAATTTCGGCACAATTATAGGTCATTGTAATGAGACGTGACAGGAACATTTTCAAGGTCATTAGGTTATCGTGACGTCATCCAGGCGCCATTTTGTGAAATCACGTTATCCATCATATCTTCATGATGCATCAGCAAAGGTCATTCATATTCATATCACATATACTTTAGGTCCAGGGTCAACAGGTCATGTCATCAAAGGTCACATAAAGGTCATGACGCGCGCGTATGTGCGCGTCAAAATTTTAAATTGCTCAAAATCACTTAACTATTAAACGAGAGTACGAATCAGGTCATTTTAAGCATTTCAACATTTTCCGTCCGTTTGTGTCCCCGCGCGCGGTGTGCGCGCTCACAGCGCGCGAAAAAGGTCAAATTCAAAATGTTTACATGATTTGGATTCCTCTTAATGTAATTAACAATTTACATTAATTTCAGTCACTCTTCATATTTCATAAGGCCGTGAGCGTGCGTCAAAGTTCAAAATCCGCGCGTGCTGCTATGGGCAATATAATGCAAATTTCATCAAAAACATGCCATTTTAAAAATCGATATAGCTTTTCAGATAGTCCATTGACCCCCATTTTTTATATCATGGTTGGAAAAAGCATGAGTTGGAGATATGATTTCATACCACCCTGACTCGTACAAAGTGAAATAAAGTCATCATATTGGCATCTAAACTCAAACAAATGTATTTTGTTGATGACGTAATTTTTGTCTTTGTTTAATTGAAATTATCTCACTTATCTGTGATTAATTTTCTCTCAGATTTTAAAATGTTGTAGCTGAGATAATTCTCTATCAGAAATATGTCATTTATTTTTCATTTCGATGACGTCATCATAGTTAAATATTCGATTAAAGGCGACAATGCATAATTTGTCATATTTGCGTGTTATGTCTATGGGAGGTCACTTTTTTCAAAACATGAATCTGCATGACAAGGTGTTTTTACCAGTATCTCGGTTGTTATTCAACAGTTTTCTCCCAAATTTTAGTATGTTGTAGCTGAGACTATTTGCTATCTAACTATTTCCTCATTTTTTCAATCAGATGTCAGGATCATGCTTATGCTCATCATCATCATTAACATTATCGTTTTTATCATCATATAACATTATCATTATAATCATCATCACCTTTACTATCATGATTATCATCATGTTCATCATGATCATCATTGTTTACATGTCTATATAACTTCTCCCATTCTCAAATCTGTCATAAGACATAGACAGACCACCTTATTCGTCTTCGTGACGAATTAAATTCTAGTTATTATTTATTTTTATTTCTTCCCGTTTTTTGTTCCTAGGATAACTCAAGTTTGGTTTAGTCAATTTGATTCAATTTTGGCTCAGTCATAGGTCATTATCATGAAACGTGACAGGAACATTTTTAAGGTCATTAAGTTATCGTGACGTCATCCAGGCGCCATTTTGTGAAATCACGTTATCCATCATATCTTCATGATGCATCAGCAAAGGTCATTCATATTCATATCACATATACTTTAGGTCAAGGGTCAACAGGTCATGTCATCAAAGGTCACATAAAGGTCATGACGCGCGCGTATGTGCGCGTCAAAATTTTAAATTGCTCAAAATCACTAAACTATTAAACGAGAGTACGATTCAGGTCATTTTAAGCATTTCAAAATTTTCCGTCCGTAAGTGTCCCCGCGCGCGGTGTGCGCGCTCACAGCGCGCGGAAATGGTCAAATTCAAAATATTTACATGATTTGGATATCTCTTAACGTAATTGACAATTTACATTAATTTCAGTCACTCTTCATATTTCATAAGGCCGTGAGCGTGCGTCAAAGTTCAAAATCCGCGCGTACTGCTATGGGCAATATAATGCAAATTTGATCAAAAACATGCCATTTTAAAAGACGAAATAGCTCTTCAGATAGTCCGTCGACCCCCAATTTTTATATCATGGTTGGAAAAAGCATGAGTTGTAGATATGATTTCATACCCCCCTGACTCGTACAAAGTGAAACAAAGTCATCATATTGGCATCTAAACTCAACAAAATGTATTTTGTTGATGACGTCATTTTTGTCTTTGTTTAATTGAGGTTATCTCACTTATCGGTGATCGATTTTCTCCCAGAATTTAATATGTTGTAGCTGAGATAATTCTTTATGAAAAATATTTCATTCATTTTTCATTTCGATGACGTCATCATAGTAAAAAATTCGATTAAAGGCGACAATGCATAATTTGTCATATTTGCGTGTTATGTCTATGGGAGGTCACTTTTTTCAAAACATGAATCTGCATGACAAGGTGTTTTGACCAGTATCTCGGTTGTTATTCAACAGTTTTCTCCCAAATTTTAGTATGTTGTAGCTGAGACTATTTGCTATCTAAATATTTCCTCATTTTGTTTAATCAGTTGTCAGGATCATGCTCATGCTCATCATCATCATTAACATTATCGTTTTTATCGTCATATAACATTATCATTATCATCATCATCACCTTTACTATCATGATCATCACCATGTTCATCATGATCATCATTGTTTACATGTCTATATAACTTCTCCCATTCTCAAAGCTATCATAAGACTTAGACAGACCACCTTATTCGTCTTCGTGACGAATTAAATTTCTAGTTATTATTATTATTCTTTATTTTTATTTCTCCCCGTTTTTTGTGGCCCGGATAACTCAAGTTTGGTTTAGTTAATTTCATTAAATTTCGGCACAATTATAGGTCATTGTAATGAGACGTGACAGGAACATTTTCAAGGTCATTAGGTTATCGTGACGTCATCCAGGCGCCATTTTGTGAAATCACGTTATCCATCATATCTTCATGATGCATCAGCAAAGGTCATTCATATTCATATCACATATACTTTAGGTCCAGGGTCAACAGGTCATGTCATCAAAGGTCACATAAAGGTCATGACGCACGCGTATGTGCGCGTCAAAATTTTAAATTGCTCAAAATTACTTAACTATTAAACGAGAGTACGAATCAGGTCATTTTAAGCATTTCAACATTTTCCGTCCGTTTGTGTCCCCGCGCGCGGTGTGCGCGCTCACAGCGCGCGAAAAAGGTCAAATTCAAAATGTTTACATGATTTGGATTCCTCTTAATGTAATTAACAATTTACATTAATTTCAGTCACTCTTCATATTTCATAAGGCCGTGAGCGTGCGTCAAAGTTCAAAATCCGCGCGTGCTGCTATGGGCAATATAATGCAAATTTCATCAAAAACATGCCATTTTAAAAATCGATATAGCTTTTCAGATAGTCCATTGACCCCCATTTTTTATATCATGGTTGGAAAAAGCATGAGTTGGAGATATGATTTCATACCACCCTGACTCGTACAAAGTGAAATAAAGTCATCATATTGGCATCTAAACTCAAACAAATGTATTTTGTTAATGACGTAATTTTTGTCTTTGTTTAATTGAAATTATCTCACTTATCTGTGATTAATTTTCTCTCAGATTTTAATATGTTGTAGCTGAGATAATTCTCTATCAGAAATATGCCATTCATTTTTCATTTTGATGACGTCATCATAGTTAAATATTCCATTAAAGGCGACAATGCATAATTTGTCATATTTGCGTGTTATGTCTATGGGAGGTCACTTTTTTCAAAACATGAATCTGCATGACAAGGTGTTTTGACCAGTATCTCGGTTGTTATTCAACAGTTTTCTCCCAAATTTTAGTATGTTGTAGCTGAGACTATTTGCTATTTGAATATTTCCTTATTTTTTCAATCAGATGTCAGGATCATCCTTGTGCTCATCATCATCATTAACATTATCGTTTTTATCATCATATAACATTATCATTATCATCATCATCATCACCTTTACTATCATGATCATCATCATGGTCATCATGATCATCATTGTTTACATGTCTATATAACTTCTCCCATTCTCAATTCTATCATAAGACTTAGACAGACCACCTTATTCGTCTTCGTGACGAATTACATTTCTAGTTAATATTCGTCTTCTTCGTGTTTTCGTCAGGAAATCGCTTTCATTTTGCTCGTAGTTCTTGTAATCATTAGTTATGCCCTTTCATCACGTCTGTTTCCTTTTAAATTGCATAGGCATAAATTCTAGCATCTCGTCAAGGTCAGTACATTCTCCGATTTTCGAAATCACTCATGCGTAACCGTCTAGGCGCCATTTTGTCAGTTTTTTGGTCCGTTTTAAGGCCTTCCTTTCTTCCTTGCTATCTCCACTATCCTACCTCCTAAAGAGTTCTAAAACATTCATATAAATAGTCCAAGAGATATTCTTTTATATGCAAAGCATAACCTGACCTTCAAATGCCATCTTCGTACTGCAAATTCAAATCCGAAACCTGCTCCTTCAAAAAAATTTAAATTACTTGATAAATGGACCCCTACAAATCTGAAATTACCATAACCTGTTGATACCCATTTCGTTTCGTCTCAATTTCTTGCATTGTCTTTATCTCATAATTACACAAAGCCATGCTGAATTTCACACTCCAATAAATGTGAAAAGATAAATAGCGCCCTCAAAAGTTCTGGGAATTGGTTTTTATTTCTGTGACCGTATCTTCATCGTTTCTGGCCAAACCGGTACCCTTTTTTGGATTAAGATACTTAAAGATATGCCCTTTCCAGCCAAAAAATACGAAATTATATACCCTAACTTTGACCAAATTTGAGAAAAATGCCCTCCAAATTCGCCATTTTCAAGAAAATGGCGAAATAGCTTCAACTTGCTCTAAAATAATGATCATTAAACCTACGTCTATGAAACTTGGCATACACATGTATCCAAACACGTGATAACTTAATACCAAGTTTTTGTATATTTGATGGCGTCAGTTTAAAATTATTGCCAAAATAAAATGATTTACTGTGCATTACGTATAAGCCACTTTATTGCTTACAAGACATTGTACGCAGATGCCAATGGTGTCAAACTGACTGTAATGAATTGACCTTTCGAATGATACCAACTACGGAATATATTCACTAAGAAAATTTTGAGTAAATCGAATTTGAAAAATGGTCACTAAACAAATTCTGCTGAGATTCCACCCAATTATAACACGTATCGGCCATGACGTCCTTTTTCTGACTGCTTTTCGCCTCCTCCCCCCCCCCCCCCGTTTTTTCCCTTGAAATTATGCAGTGATATTCTGAGTTGCAATGCGCAAGGCACCTCGAAGCCGGATTTTTGAAAATCTCCAAGGGGGCCAATTATGACGCCATGTTATACTCTGCATGATTTTGTTAGTATGGGCGGCTGTGTGTGCCACAGAGGGCAGCACGCCCGCCCCCCCCCCCCACACACTCCGAGAACGGACGGACCCCATGCGTGTTACCAAAATGCCCTTTTCGTAACAAAAGAAAAAGGTCGACCCGTATTGACTTTACACACCGAACTTTTGCTGCAAAGGGGGGGGGGGGGGGGGTGCTGAAAAAGGCTCGTATAACAAAAGAAAAAGGTCGACCCGTATTGACTTTACACACCGGACTTTTGCTGAAAGGGGGGGGGGGGTCGCTTGGAACACGCATATGCGTACCCTAAATAACACTGAGTGGGGGGGGGGGCGGGCGGCACCACGTGTTTATCATGCACCAAATCCCATTGAATTTGCACGCAGTGCTTATTGCGAGCCCTTTCTAGGTCCCTTCCTGTATTCCAATTTCCTCCAAACTTCGTAGGTAGAGTCTTTAGCATTCCTTTAAGGTCACAAATTCTTCGTTCCCTGGAATCCCTCTTGTGTGACCGTCTAGGCGCCATTTTGTCCTTTTCGGGACGTTTTGGAGGCCTTTTTTCGCCCTACCTATCTCCACAATCACAAAAGCTACCAACTTCTTACAAATTGCTCTGGAAAGTCCGAGAGAAGCTCTTTCGTTTGAAACGTAGAAACACGTGCGTAATTACACGCATATCGTTGTGACACGAGTGCATGTCTAGTTATTATTGCCATCATCATTTCGGATATTATGTCAATATTTCAAATGTCTTGAGCAAATGCCAAGCCAAAGCGTTTTTCAGCTTGCTATAGTTGCTATAAAAGATATCAAAGCTCCGTTAAGAATTCTTTCTTTCTTTTTGTTTATCTCTCTGTCTGTCCGTCTGTTTCTTTGTATATGTATTTTTGTTATTGTTCTTCAATTTATCTCTCTTAAGTACTACTACTACTACTGCTAGCATTAATATAGTAACGATAATTATGATATGAGTAATAATGATGATAGTAATAGCTATTACCTTGTTGTTGTCCTTGATTTCTGCTAGTCCCTTGTCAGTTTTCAAGATGAGAGCACTAGTCATTATGTAACCTTTTTCAATCGCCACGTGGAGTGCTGTTTGTCCCTTCTCATTCCTGTTTATAAAATAAAGCAATTCATCGTTGAAAATAAACAAATACGTTTTAAAGCGATACCGAACTTTCTACCTTAGCACAATGTTTATTGCACAGCACCACGGTCAACATACCAACAGTGCGTAACGAAATATGTAATTTCGATTTCGCAAAAAGAGGACTCGATGCGACATCCAACAGCGCGGCAAGTTACAAGACCGTACTGCTACAGCTTACCTGAGATGGAATTTTGAGATAGGGATTTTAGGACCATTTTTTGTATGTATTCGGGAATCTTACTTTTTCTTCATTTGAACATCCGGGTTCTTGAGGATAGCCTTTGTTGTTTGATGATGACCATTTCCTGCAATTAAATGGAGCAATGAGTTACCACCACTATAAGCGTTGTTGATAATGTCCTTGTCCCAGGCAACCAGCTCAAGTAAACTCCTGAATAAGATATAAAAGACAAAGATGTAGAGACAAGATTTTGTTTCGAAAGTAGAAGTGTCGTAGTCTGGTAAAAACATCTTCGGACTGTCGATCACATGGTTCAAGTCCCGCAATGGAAAGACATTAACCTACATTTTTTTATTCCCTACCAAGGTGTTAAATAGGTAACCGCTAGGATGCGAACGTTAATTTAGTTTTACAAGGTGATGCCTGGCCGGAATAGTCCCCTGGAAGTGGAGCGCGTGCACTATCACGTGCAGATTAGCAATTGAATCAAATGCCTTGGGTAATAATATAGTTAAATCGACTGCTATGAGACGCCTGGCTGTTTTATAGGCTCAAGGGGTCATAGCCGGATGCAACGTCCCCGAGAGCCAACATCCAGGCCTCGAGTAATAGAGCAGTCGATATCTCTTTTATATAAGGAATTGACACAAAAATTTACAAATAATTTTACATTATCCTTTTCTTGAGTAAAGATTGGTTTAAACATCACGAACAATCTGAGAAACTGTCTGTTAATCTTCGCTGGAAAGATGACTGAATGTTATAATCATTTGGGAATCGCAGACAAAAAGCACTGTATGGTGTCCGCGCTCGCACAAAGCAAATGTTTACACGTAAACCAATGGGGATATCATCAAAACTTTACTATTTTCTCGGTAACCGGAATATTTAGGGAATCTTACTCATGAACTGAAGAGTATCATTCCAAAAGGAGCTAAATCCACTTTATTTCTCGACTTTCCCTTTTATTTCTCAACTTTCCCTTTAGTCATGCAGCTTCATGTTGTTATATACATGTTACAGGTGTCACCCTGGACCAATATTTATCATAAGAAAAATCTACCAGTTCTTTATGATGTTTACTAAAGTTTTAAAATAAATTGTGTGGATAAAACTTATTTGGGAATAAAACATGGAATTAGCTCCTTTTGGAATGAAACGGATTTAGCTCCTTTTGGAATTAAACTGTGATATGCTGTTTAGTTTCTTTTTAAAAGTTTTTTTTAGTTGTAATTTTATTATTATTATTTAAAAGGAAAAGTTTGCTACTTAATTTGAATAAATTTCAGTGACTTTATTGAGAAGAACAAAAAAAAAAAATTATACACGCATTGTCCTATCACGAAATCTGTTAACTTTCGAGAATATTTCTCTCTCACAATTGTTTCATCACATAGACCATTTTGTGCGGTGTTTATATAAATGTAACAATTAGACACAAATATCATGATACAAAACAGAGTTTTTTAAATTAAAAGCTGCTTTAAGATTGAATATAAGGTACAGTGATCTCTTTTTTTATTTTTCTAAAACGGATAAATCAATTTCAGTTCCACATTAGCTTTTGTATTTTATTTGGAGCAATGACGATCACAAGCATAAGTGTGAAATCTTTGAAGCAGAAAGTACATTGTGCCAGGAAGCAACGCCAAGTCAGAGGTGCGTGTGTTCTATATTGTGCTGTGATTAGTCAACTGGATTTAGCTTCTTTTGGGACGGAACCGATTTGGATTTAGCTCATTTTTGGAATGAAACATGACATTGAACCTAAAAATGTTCATACTTCCTGGTGAAATTTTATATTGTGACATAGTGCATTTTGTTCTCATGTAGGAATTGATTATTTCAAGAAAAAAAAATGGATTTAGCTCCTTTTGGAATCAGGCTCTTCATCAACTATTGACCGTTACTGGCATTGTTCGTTTCTTTACGGAAATGGCTAAAATTGCGAGTCCAATTTTGACCAATCAGATGGCCAGATTTCTAAAGAGAGGTATATAATATAAACGAAGCATTAGGCGCTATACAAATGTGACGATTATCATCACAGAGTTGTAATTGAAAGACTATTTCTCATTTGATGAACAAAATGCTATCTACCTCACATTTGGTACCAAAGTGCTAACGTCATATTTGCGCGTAGTCCAGATTCTGGCCGTTTTTGTTTTTGTTATTCTTCAATAATATTTTACACGCATCCCACAAAAAAAAAAGGCTAAGGTTATTTTCTCAGCTGATTGGGCGAGCGACAAGCAACAATCAAGGCAGTAGATCAATTTGCTCCTCGTCCAGTATACTCGTTATAAACAACAGGGACAGCGCATGAGGTTCATCGCGAAATCATTCAAGCTACGGGCTAGGGCAAGGTGACCCTCATACAATTGTTTAACATTGTTTGGAAACAGCAACCTTGACAACTTGGCCAGTGTGACATCCTACTTCGGTAGGCATCGTTGGCTATGTAGAGGGCGCAAGTAGTGCAGTCCCGCTTTACAGGGAATAAAAATTCTACGAAATGTATACCTATTTTAGGTTTAATTACATCTTGGATAGAAAAAGTACAATAATTTTTCGGAGAAAATGTTCACAAAGTTTAAGATATTTTGACGTATTTGCTGATTCGCTAATGAAGATCTATACGGGTAAAAAACGAAATTTATTAACATATTAGGGCTTGTAATAATAGGCTTACCTTAACGAGGCGGTTTACAAATTAGTACATTTTTAAAGGATTTAGTGGAAACGCCAGGTAGTTGGCAAAAAAAGTAGAGGACATTAAATTAAGTCTAAAAGAACGGTTGCTTTAGTTTGTGTGCTGTCTATCACAAATATTTACCTTAAACACATGGGGTGGTATTCTCGAAAGCGGCCTAAGTTAAATCAGTGGCCTAAACCTGGTTTAAACCATGGACTATCTTTTTTGCTATTCTCGAAGGTGGCCTAAAGATAAGCCAGGCTTAAATACGTCATAGTTCGGCCTAACTTTAGGCCGCTGAGAGGGCAGGTTTAAATACGTCATAGTTCGGCCTAACTTCGCGTGACGTCACTTTTGAGTTAAATCGACTGTCCGCGGAGAGTGAACGGTAAGTTTTGCATTTGAATTTGTATATTTGATAACAATTTACACTCTTCTGTATGGATAAGCGCTCATCAAAGTTACACCAGCTAATAAAGTATTTTTGTTACTTTCATGTTGCTTTACTGGTGATAATCTAAAATGCTTTTAACTGAATAAATTTGGGGAAAACTTGGTAAATGTTCACAGTGTTCGCAGACCAGTCCCATACGTGCAAAAAATTGTCGGTAAAAATTTTCGTTTCCTGAGATTGAGCAATTTCTTACCGGGTAAATTCCCCCCCCCCCCCCCGCTTTGGAAGTCGCTCCGCCGCCCCTGGACGTCACATTGATCACGTTGGTGCATCCTCTCCACACTGCGCGCATCCATTGTCGTAGCCCATTGTCTTAGTCCATTGTGACGTCGCAGCTTCGGTACTGAGCATGTGCACAAACTGTAACCATGGTGAATGATCCATGGACTAAGTTAGGCCAGGTTTAAACCATACTTGAGGCTGTAGCATAAATGCAAAACTTGAGGCTGTAGCCATCCGTCGTACGGAGCCGTCAGGCTGAGTACGATAGCTGCTTAAAACAGCCCCATTGGATCAGTTAGGCCACCTTTCGAGAAATGAAAATGACTTAGGTCAGCGTCCTAAGTTAAGTCTGGCCTAACTAAACCACGGACTAAGTTAGGCCAGGTTTAACTTATGCCGCTTTCGAGAATACCACCCATGGTTATTATTGAAAAGCGTTTTCATAGCATAAAGAAATACTCTTTTTGGTGCGGCTTGGTTTTCAAGTGTGTAGGTAGTTGTGTGTAATGTGACATTGTATAAATGATGCATGATAACGAGTTCATTTTACGATCTAACCATACTAGACTTGAGGCTGTAGCCATCCGTCGTACGGAGCCGTCAGGCTGAGTACGATAGCTGCTTAAAACAGCCCTATTGAGAGGGGATAGAATGTTCAATGAGCAAATGAAAACATGCATAATTTGTTTTATAAACGACACTCGTAGATTTCTGTTATTTGATATAAATAATGGGATTTATTTTTAATATTGTTTCGTGTCAATATCGCTGACCAAAAAACTACACACAGATATAGATACACTTACACCTATACCCGTTTACACGCAGTGGTACGCAAGACAGTGTAGGCCCACACGCAGTTTAAGTGCACTAACTTCCTCACGCCCTGATGCGCATCATGTGCTTAGTTGAATAATACTGAAAACTGTTGCACGCTTTTTCATGGAAAAACGTGGGAAAGTCTCAATGAATAAATCACACGTGGCTTGGTTTGACCAATCAGTTGGAATTGACTTGGAAAAATATTATTCATATTTCGTGTATTGTAAAAATGTAAAATCTTACTCTGTTCGGCCTTTTTCTGCACAAAGTCGGGTCAATTCCCTTGTCCGGATTTGCTTCTTGCTCACCTTGAATTCATCAGATTTGTTAAGCAATTTCTGGAAATGAGAACAAAAGAAAACGGAAATAAAAAAATATGTCTAATAAAAAACATACGTATAAACATTTTTGCATAGCGGGAACAAGTCAAAATAAGCGAAAGAGCGAACAGATAAATACAATAAAGTGATTATACAGTGCGTCCCAGAAAAATGAAACCGGAACTTGTTTAAAATAATGTTTGCCTTTCCATAATTTGATTAAACGAAACACAAATATGTGTCATTTATATTAATTATGATTGTGATTACGTTATGATAAAACTTTCACAGCTCTACTGTATATATATAAACACAGCGTTCCAGAAAAAACGAAACCGAGAATTTCGTTTCGTTGACGATCAAACATGCACAAAAAAGACGAAAGTCCTGATGCAAAGGGCTCTAGTGCATCGACTTGGTTTCAAACCCAGAACCTCCCGTATACGATACCACTGCTCTACCACTAAGCAATCAAGCCTCCGTCTAAGGTCGGTCCGTATATCGTCTCATACGGCACCGGCTTCGTGGAGTGGACATACCTGAAGTACTTTGAAGAGGTTTTTCTCCGCCGCGATCCACTTCAGTAACTCAAATATTGTTTGCTGATCTTGATGTTGGAGTAGGACCACCAGACAGTCGATAGCGCCTTTCTCGGCTGCGTACTTCAATAAAGATGGCGACTCTCTTGAATTGCTGTCCTTCATACCGATATGAATGTCTTTATCCCGTCTTTTACAGGTAATGTTGTGAATATACAAAAAAGGGTTTATCATTACAGAATAGTGGTGCAGAGACACCTTTGGCACAGGGACCCTCTACCAAAAAATATTGAAATTAAAACAAAATAACCTGAAAAAAGTAACACAAAATTGAATGTGGAAGAAGAGAAAAGATGATAGATACAAAGAAGATGGAACAGGGAAAGGGCCATAGGGAGAACTTGTAAGATGACACTACTTCTTACTTCTACCTTCATCGAATCGCTGCTCTTTTTTAATCATTTTTTTCTCATCACAAGTGCTATGTATAAACATATGTTTTAATGTATCGTAAAAGCTTTTTTTCAGGTAACAGTCCTACAGTGTGAGTAAAAACAAATTTCACTGTTCTAATATACCGTTTTACTAACATATTCAAACTTATTGATGTTTCCTTCCCGGGGACGAGTAAATTCATTAATCTATTATTATTAATGCATAAACTTCAAAACTCGGAATACAGTTTGCATGTATTTCTTTTGCTATGTAGGACAAGCCTTGGACAAGCCTTCAGGTGGTCAAGAACAACATTTGTTTAAAATTTATGCCCACAAATTTGATATGTTAGTAAACTGTTCTATTGCCTATTGCTATGAGAGTGATTTGTCAATTTTCAAACAATATAAGTTAGTATTAACCCAGTTGCGACAACTCTAAAGCCCCTTTCACACCGAACAATGCGTACAGTTGCGTAGTGTTGCGTACCAACTACGCCAATCATATGCAGCCCTACGCTGGCCTACGCAAATATACGCTGAAGGACGCAAAGGTGTACTGGGGATGGACACAAAAAGTACTTTCGGCGTAGACGCTAGACGCCATATGGAAAAGTTTCAGGCCGAAATTCCACTAAAGTGGAATTGTGCGTGTCTTTCTTTGCTCAGCGCGCAGGTACGTCTCATGAATAATTCATGACCCTACACACACACACCCACGCAAAGGCGAGTCATGGCGTGATATGACGTCATAACTCTCTGTGCTAATGAGCTCGGAGTGTCGCCAAATGTGATTGGACGGAAAAGATTAATCTTTTTACTTTTTCAAGGATAGGGAGGGATAAATTTCGCACTGGAAAGTGAAAGCGCTGTATGCGTAGGATAATCCGTTGCCGGGATACAGAGTCTCAAACACGGGGTTATCGATTATGTTTCCTGCTTCGAATTGTGCAAGTACGTGCATTGCTATGGAAGGGTTGAACAGGTGTCAAAATTCACTTGAAAATCATTCTTTCGAGGCCTTTTTCGACGCGAATACATAGAGTTATTTTCTAATATTCTGGAGAATACAAAAAACAACGTATAGACAATAGAATACCGTTCGCGCCAGCCTTGTATTTAGCAGCACTGCAACATTACACCAATATCTTTGACAAAATAATTTTTGTTAAGCCTGTGCCCATTGGTTATAATACATGCGCGAGCATGTGTTCGAGACTCGCCAAAAGACACTTGTTCATATGTTGTGTACGCAAGTCTACGCAACACTACGCTACAGTACGCCAAGCCTACGCAATAGTTCGCTACCCTACGCCAGTCCGACGAAGCAGTAAAAGCTTGCGCACACAGTAAGCAACCGTACCCAACCCTACGCCTGTTATACGCAATCGTACGCGTAGGTACGCCAATTGCATACGCCGAAGGTACGCGGTACCTATGCACAGAGCACGTAACGTACGCCATCGTATGCCAGCCTACGCATAACCTACGCAGGGACTACGCCGAAGCAACATATTTGTTAATGAATACGCAGCCTAATTCGTATACGCCACATGGTACGTCACACTACGCAACTGTACGCAGATCCGGTGTCAAAGGGGCTTAAGCAGTTTTTTTTCTCGATTAGCAATCCAAAGCCACAATCACCCAGGTGATAAATGGGTACCGGTTTGAGCACCTTGGATGGTGGATATGTGGGCGATATAAATATATATCACCATTTTACTTTGTTAAGCAAGGCACTTAGGTTGACCTTGGTGCAGCCGAACATGAAATATCATCCCATAAATGAGGAAGCGTCAATAAATACTTAAGAAGTATCACACACGGTCATATTTACTTATCACTCTTAAAAACGTATAAGGGCGGGCTCTCCTTGCGAAATCGCCACCGTTCGGGTGTTTCCCCAAAAGCAAATGCTGTCAATCAATGACATGAAAAGGTTGAGAAAACTCAGAGTTTCGTTTCAAAATGTTTATGCCTACCTCTCTTTTAACAGGTAACAGACGACTTTAGTCACCTCGAAATGGTTTCGACTGCAGGCAGCGTGTAGCGGCGTTAATCGTCTCATGTTTGGACAGGTCAGGAGGTTAGGACATATTTCATCGAGCATTTTGACAATACCGTGATGTCCATGTCTGCAGACAGTGTGCATCAATGTCGAGTTGTCCTTTGAAATGATCTTCATGAGGTCAGCGCGACCAACTAAAAGTGATATTTCAAAAATTTCAATATTTCAAAAACGTAAGGTTGTCGTAGTCGAGTGCTTTAAAGCTCCACTGCACTACTTAAAGCTACTTGCGCCCTCTATATAGCAAACAATGCCTAATCAGTGCCTGTTGGTCCCCCATGATCCCCTTTTTCTTATGTTAGTTGAGAGCTGATTTGATAAGATAACCACCTATCAATGATCTTGCAAGGAGGTCTAATCCCCTCTGGCCAAAGTAGTGCAGACGCCCTTCTCGTTTGGAAATGCAAAAAGTCGTGGGTTCGATCCCTGGCGCGGAACATTTTTTTCTCCAATTCAATCAAATTCGGGTTATATTGATATAAAAATAAACATTTATAGTATGGTATACGATTGTGGTCCGAAATATCCTCAATGCAGTTATTATTATGCCCGTTCCTTGGCGTCAAAGAGTGGCGTTCAATGGAGACTTTTCGATTTGCACGACGAGAACGTGGACTGCAACGTGTAACATCCTTTTAGGGCACTGCCAGTGCCTTAAAAGGACGCCACACGTCCATGTCCACGCAAATCTAAAAGTCCCTAATGAATTAAGTAGTAAAACGCCATTTTCTAGTACACCAACAATGAAACCGCTACGCCACTGGCGGATCCAGGGGGGGGGGGTACCTGGGGGGCCCGGCTCCCCCCTGGGAAAAAAAAATGTGTATTTTTACATGTTTAACGTTAATGTTACCTTTTTTGGGAGATTCTCCCCCCCCCCCCCCCCCAACGCTCAAGGGAGGGGGGTGCAATTTTTCAAACTTTCGAGGGCCCCCCAAAAAAATTAGTGCCCACTGAGTGAATTATTGGCCGGCACGATTTTCATATTTCAGCAACCTAAATTTCAAATTGATTTCAAATTTGGGCCCCCACACCTAAGAAATCCTGGATCCGCGCTTGCGCTACGCATACCCCTGTTAGTGCTGTTACTACTCTCATTTTTACTGAGCTGCACTTTAGAACCAAATATCAGGAATTCACATTTGTCTAAATTCAATTTCAGAGAATGTGTAAGCATCCTGTCAGTGGTAACAAAGATTATTAAATAAATTGAAAAAAAAAAGAATCGGCCTGCCAACGGAACCCTGTGGCACACCATAGGAGAGAGGCAAGGCAACTGATCTGCAACCATTTATATAAACAATCTGTGATAGATATGAGATAGGACTCAAACCATGTGTATGCCTCACACTCAACATTTCCAACACCCCCAAAATCAAAATCGTAGTCAAGTTGCAGTAAGTTCGCAGTTAGGTCGTATACATAGTGCGCGGTGGGCTTTATTCACCCCCCCCCCCCCTACTCCGTGATCGGAGGGATACCATGTGTTTTACCAAAATGTCCGGTAAAGGGGTACTTTTTACGCACCAAAGTCCGGCTCGTAGTACACAAAAGCCCGTTTTACACACCGGACTTAGGGGGTGTTTTCGAAAGGAGGGAACATTAATATGCGTACCCCAAATAACACCAGGGCGCTTTAGCAACGCGCCGGAAGGCAAAGAGGACGGGAGAATTCACTAAACCGAGATCAAATAATGTATGCAGTTCGGATTCTGTCTGTTGAAATACTATTATTCTTATCAGGTGAATGAAATAATTTGTATTAAGGCACTTCACAAAGACTTATGCATTTAATTTGGTTACATTATGAAAATTGTCTATTGTACGGCGATACAACTCTTCCGTCGTGTTTAGGGAACGAACGCTATTATGGCTGAGAACGGTCGTGGGAATCAACAAGACGGAGAAAATTCTGGTTCGCACATGCGCAGATTGATTATTTTGCGCGGTTAACCTCGTCTTTGCCTTCCGTCGTGTTTGCAAAATCACTCTATATACAGGCTACAAATGAAGACGGGAGCATAGTACAGGACGATTGGTTGAGTGATTTCTCCCGTCCGCTTTGCCTTCCATCGCGTTGCTAAAGCGCCCTACTGAGTGGGGAGGCCGGGGCTTTATACTCACCGTATTCCAAGCAGTATGAGACGAGTTCCTTGTCACCGCACTTGACCGCCTCATGGAGCACGCTTTGCTGGTACGCGTTTTGGGCTAACAAAATCTGTGTTACAACGAAAGCACAACATTTTCACATGTGAATGAAAATAATAATGCTAATATCAAAATCAGTACACAAATGGCTTGCAAGCAGGGGCGGTTCTAATCGAGGTTGGGTCGGGTTCTCAAGTCTCCCCCACCATGCCCCTCCCCCTTCAAACAAAACGTGGGGCACATGTAGCAAGTGAAAGCAATAGTCCTAATGATCTATTATCAATAATCAAATTAATCATCAATTATACTTGGTAATGCATGGGATATACCCTGTACTTCCTTCCTCATCACATGTCATCAGTTTTAAATTTAATATTTGCTTGGCAAATTGCTCTATAAAACGGCAAAAATAAAAATAAATCCATTAACATGACCGATCAAATAAATTCAAATTTAATTAAAATAAAATATCTAACCTCTCGCACGACGTCTCTGTTCTCTTTGCAAATTTTAAGGAATCGAAGGGCAAACTTCACTTGCCCTTTCCTAAGGATGATGTGAAACGGTGTATCACCCCGAAGGCTATCTTTTGCCAGAGGATCGGCACGGTGCTTGAGTAGCACCTGGGCATTTTCAAACTGATCGTTCTGGCATGTGATGTGGAAAAGGGATGAAGTTACTGTTCCGGTCTTTACATCTTGCTAGAAAGGAAGATGAATAAAGCGCAATTTTCATTAAAATATGATTTAATATTGCTTAACTCTCACGCGATGCATGATATAAATTATTAATAAATAATGATTTTGTCTGCTTTTCCAAGAAAGTAATAAAAAAGATATCTGTCTATCTATGTCCCATAGCATGTAGGCCGTTGGGGCTACAGTCAGTCTTAAGCTTGTCCAGTTAGCTGCTCAACTGAAATTCCCGTCAATGCAATCCATGTCCCATTTCTGTTTGGTTTCTACCACTCTTTCTTCTCCTATAAGTTCCTCCTTGCAAGCTGAAAGACACATCTATATTCATTATAAACTACTTGATTCTTCCTCGTTGCGAACCTGCTATTTTAATACCCCAGCATCGCCATGTATCCATGTACATCTGTGTCGAGAGGCACCATTGTGGGCAGTACGCGTTGTCCAGGGATGTAAAACAAGAAGAAAGAATCGAACCTGGAACCTTTGTTTGAGAGTCAGGAGCGTTCTCAAAAGCAGAAGTGTTTTAGGAGCTACATTTTCTAGTGCTTATAATACATCCAAAGGGGCATCCAAATATATCAAAATTGTAAAGAATCACTATCCACCCAATTTTTAAAATTCCCAAAACTTTGTATTACCTTTAATTACCAATAAACGACATTGCTTCCTCACGATATATCAGGAAGGTTGTTTTTTAAACACACTTCTGTCAACTATTTTGCTTTAATTACCCTTGATCGCTTTTTGACAAACGCACTAAAAAAAGACAGAAAATAGATTTTTGTCTTCATATAGACCAAACTATATTTCAAAACGTAATAACAGATGGATTTAGAAGAAACGGAGTTCAAGGGAACTGAAATGTATGTAAATTCAAGGACCTCATTGTTCGTTTGTTTGTTTAATTTTTTGTTTGGCCTTTTCTACTTCAATGTTTAAAGAATTAAGGCTCTAAGTAAAAAATATTTAAGTAAAACTTTTGTTTCATATCGTTTAATTCAATTCATTTCATTGGCTTTAAACGATTTGTTAACACTTGTCATTTCCCAAAAAGGATGATTTTGTATTTGTGAAGCAGGGCTTTGATCTGTACTTACGTTTACATCAATCTCTCTAACTGAAAGTAGGGCACGGATGACCTTGTGTTGACCTTTGACGTCACAAGCTAATTGTAATGGTGTACGACCATGGTAGTCCTTCTTGTCTGCAGGTACCTTTTCCTTTATTAATAGTTTCACCACTGTAACTCTGTCCTTAACCTGACAAAAGGTACAATTACATGTATAACAATATACACTTTCAGGGAAGTGATTTTTTTCTACGGGCTTAATTGATCATATGATGTTTTTCTTATTTGCCAAAAAAAATTGTATTGTAATGCTACATAATGTTTGAAATTCATATTCTGACGATTGAAATACAATTTTGAAACAGTCGAATGAAATCATTTGTAACCAGGCACTTAGCAAAGATTAATGCATATTAACATTTGATTAAAATAAGAAAAATGTCTAGTCATGGAGTCTGAAAAAGTTCCCTTTCGTAGAAATTATTTGTGGGAGCGAACTTTTTGTAGCTCCATGAATTGACATTTGATCGGGTACGCGTGCGCGTGTCACAACTATCTCTCTCAATACGCTATGGGGCTAACTCTCCGTACTTTGGCATATAGATAGGTGAATCAAACACAACTGGGGCCCTCTTGCACCCCCCCCCCAAAAAAAAAAAGGGATAAAAGGTGCGCTTAGAGGCAAATAAAAAAAAATCTTTGAACCAAGTCCCAAATACACGATCATGATTTCGGTTGAAATCAAGTTGCGTTTAAATGAACAAAATTATTGCAAGAGATCCGGCTAGGCTCTGTATATATATACAAAAACTTACTTGGCTGACGTTTTTGTTTTCTCCTTTAACTGCGAAATGAATAGGTGTTTGTCCACCTTCGCCTGCCACATTAAAATCTAGGAATGAAAAGTGATATCGAATTGTTACAAGTAGCATCTCCAGACTTTCTCCACATTTACAGTGGACGTCATTCTTCCGTCCATGGGGAGTATTTCACATAATCACCCTTTTATGGGCACGTACATGCTAATCCAACCACAATGCCATTCACATTCTACCAGGTACCCGCTTAACACCAGGGTGAAGAGGAGGAATGTAGATAACATGCCTTGCTCAAGGACACAAGTGCCGTGCTAGGGCTCGAACCCGAGACTTTTGTATTTCAAGTCAAATGATTAAAACCTCTCAACTCCAACACCCCTACAGCCCCACCCCGATAGAAACTGATCCTGGATCTACCACTTGCCAGTACTTAAATTTAATTGAGATCGGCTTTAATAGTTTTACGAATTTATGAACTTGTCAATTTACAATTTACCGGTTACATATCGCTTTTTCAATAGCTCACAATTTCGAATATTCGCTACTCCGAAGGTTCACAAAGGAACTCAAAGTAAGGTTCATAATTATCAAGGTTCACAATTACGAAAATTGAATATGATTCGTTAATCGTAAAACTTATCTCATTTTCGAAGTTATGAACTAGAATCCCGTAGGTTCATTTTCCGAAGGACTGGGTCTTCATGTTCCAGTAACGGGAACAAGAAGACCCAGTCCTTCGGAAAAACGAACCTACAAAAAACCGAGTCTTTGGAAAAGCTCGTGTTTCTCTATTTACCTGCTCTGTTGTATATGAGAAGTTCTACCCAGGGTACGAGTGCCTTGGCACAGGCATAGTGGATCACACTGTTTCCTATTGCGTCCTTCTGCTCTATCGCTTGTCTAATCTCATCAGGGGTGAAGTCTGAGAGGAGGTCCTTGGCCTTATTGATGCTGGGGTTTTCGGCTTTCACGAGCTATGATCAACAGAAAATAATGATAATATCAATGATTATAATAATAATGATGATATTAATATTATAATATGATTATTTTTATACTACTACTAATAAGAGTAATGATGATAATAAATATAACGATTAATAGAGATCATAATGATCATTATAACAATACTAACGATACAAATAGTAGTAATGATAACAATGAAAATAATGATAAAAATATTAATAATAATGATAACAATATTAATAATAATAATAATAATAATAATGATAATAATAATAATAATAATAATAATAATAATAATAATAATAATAATAATAATAATAATAACGAGATAAAAATTCGTAACTGAAAACGAATGCGGTGGCCCGGGTTTTGTTTTAAGGATCTCATATGGAGAGGTGCAGAAAGAGAGAGATGGCATTAGATAGATATAGAGAAGGAGAGAGAGGGAGACAGGGTATAGTCATGTAAACAAAATAAAGAGCTGGACAGATGGATAAAAGACGAATCAGAATGCATGCATTTTGAAATAGGCTTAATGACAGGGTATACGATGGTTTACCTGTAGGAGCGATTTTGGGCAAATTCTTTTCTTCTTGGGGGAAGCACTTCTCGAAACACCAAGAATCCGAAAGGCTGTGTCTTTCGACGATCGGAAAACCGACGAGGATGTTGCCCTCGGCGATCCGGACACCAACAACGATGTGGTGGCGATTGGCAATCCAAGCCCTGGTTCCGGTTCGGATTCGGAGCATGAACTTCCCTCATCGCTACAAAAGTCGTCGTAGAGGGGTCTAATTATCGACTCATCATCACTGGAATCGATGTCTTGATTTCCAAGTAGAATCCCGGATTGGAGTCCGCGGGTGACGATGTTTCGCCATCTGTTCATCTTTCTTGGCTTTGGTCACTAAGATTTTTTTGTTTAAAGTAATATAAATAACTTTTAATAACATAGACAAGTAATCTAGAAATTATTTCATTAATCATAAAAATACATTTAGATAAAAAAAAACATATGATATCGCATACATATAAAGACAAAATAACATCATACATTACAAAGAAAATGATACAATATCATAAAGTTAATCTGGACAAAATATAGGGAAAAGTGAGTATTTATGTGAATGAGGGGACAGCTGCCACTATGGATTCAAGGATATCATCATTTTGCCTAACTGTGGATCCAAAGATCTCATCGGTAGCCTAACTATAGATCAACAGATATCATCGCTTTGCCTAACTATGGATGCAAAGATCATGACTACTGGCCATGTCTGATTGATTCAAATGTATTGCGAATTGTGAGTTTCTGATCGATTGTAGAACTGTATTTCAATTTCAATTCATTGATGGGTTTGGCTGCTTCTAGGGAATAAATGCCAAAAGAACCATACAAAAGAATCATCAACAACCCATTAAAACGCGTGCAATCTATCTCTCTACCTGTCCAACTTCGAAATTGTAACAACATTGATACCTTTAAATCTGAACTCAAAACCTATCTTTTCCGGCAACATTGCGAATAATATGTGACATATTTAGGGAGCCAGGCGCCTTTGAATGCTTTTGCAGATAAATGGCGCTATACAAATGCTGTTCATCATCATCATCATCATCATCATCAATCAAGTTAACATGCTTTTCAATGGGATGTCGGTGAAAAAAATTGAAAATGTTTCAAATTTATTTCCACTTTCTCATATTACATATATTATGATAACACAAACAAGACAAAGCGATGAATTACCAAAATTGGTACAATAATAATCATGTAGCCAATATTAAATGATGTACATACTTCTTTAATAAACATATATATTGCATCCTTATCAAATAATTGTAGAAAATATACTCGTTCTTAATTACATCTCAATTTGAGATAAAGTGGAAGTAGCTAAATAAGAAACAGATTTTGTGAAGCTATAAGGTCCCATTTCAGAAAAAAAAAATCAAATTTATATTTGACAATGAAAACAAGGGGGAAAATTACGATTTTAGTGCAAGGGCAGAAAGTGAAAAGGAAAAGAAAAGGATATACAAGGAAGAAGGAAAAGGAGAAAAGGTAAAAAACAGGAAGGAATAGGGGGGAAGAAAGACAGATGGAGAGAGAGAGAGAGAGAGAGAGAGAGAAATGGAGAGTGTGTGTGAGAGAGAGAGAGAAAGAGAGATATTGCAGGACCTTAAGTTCGTAAGAGTTCAAGCAATTATATTTTAACAATAGGGTAGTACTCAATTGTGGCAATGAATGACTGGCAGGCTTATCACGAGAAGACTATTGAAAGTTACAAAGAGAGAAAACTGTTGAAGGTAGCGATGTCCTGGGGTCCAATTACTCGAACATAAAATTTAAATTTTAGATAAAGCACAGGCACTGTATTTCTAATTTATTATGTACTATTATAACAGGATAGTGACACGAAATCGTAATGAGTAAAAGTTAAGTTTAATCTAGTTTCATTTTCGAGTATAGTGTCCGGACAGGTTATAATCAGGACAGTTGATCGAAACAGCGATTTGAAGAAGTTTACAAGCAATATTTCATAAATCTTTTAAGATTTACGTTGGAAATTCATAAAAGACACACAGACAAAATGGTTAGCCTATTTGATGTATATATTCAGTTAAATTCGAAGGCAAAAGAGAATTTTGTTTGTTTTTAAAGTGTCCGGACAGCTAACCCCCAATCATAAGTTTCAGACAATATGATACAAGCTTGTTGTGTTCATGCACGGTCCATTGATCATGCATTGAGTAAATTCTTTGTAAAAGGACCTGGGTTTTTCTATATTTTGTATTTAATTTGAGAAAAAGTGGAGTAACCTATAAAAGAAGCAGAGCATCTGAAGCTATATATATCCCATTTTAGGAGAAAAAAAACTTGTATTCAAGAATGAAAAAAGGGGAAAATTACGAGTTTAGTGCAAAAACAAAGGGGGGAGAATATGACAGAGAAGGAAGGAGGAGCAGGATAAAAGGTGAACGAATAGGAAGGAGGAGGGTAAAAGAGAGAAAGAAAGAAAGAGAGAGAGAGAGAAAGAAAGAAAGAGAGAGAGAGAGAAAGAGAGAGAGAAAGAAAGAGAGAAAGAGAGAGAGATAGAGAGAGAGAGAGAGAGAGAAAGAAAGAAAAGAGAGAGAGAAAGAAAGAAAGAGAGAGAGAGAAAGAAAGAAAGAGAGATAGAGAGAGAGAGAGAGAAAGAAAAAGAGAGAGAGAAAGAAAGAGAGAGAGAGAGAGAGAGAGAAAGAAAGAGAGAAAGAAAAAGAGAGAGAGACAGGGTGCAGCATCCTGAGTTCAAACGAGTTTAAGCAAGGACATTTCAACAAAAGGGTAGCATGCACGTGTTAAAATTGAAGGACTGGCAGGCTTACCACGAGAACCTATTGAAATTTACAAAGAGAGAAACCTGTTGAAAATATCGATGCCCTAGGGTTCAACAAAACTCGAACATGAAATTTAGATAAACCACAGACAGTGAATTTCTTATTATATTATGTACTTTTGTAACAGGATAGTGACACGAAATGTTATTAAGTAAAAGGTAAGTTAAATCTCGTTTCATTTTTTCGAGTATACCCAGCCGTTGTGTGTTCGGACAGTTGATTGAAAACAGCGATTTAAAGAAGTTTACAAGCAATATTCCGTAAATATTCTGAGAATTATGTTGGAACTTTATGAAAGACACACGACCATAATGGTTAGTCTTATTTGATGTATATTCTCCGTGAAATTCGACGGCAAACCCCCCATTATAGATTTCAAACATTGCTACAAGCCTGTTGTGATGAGCATGCCATCATGCACGGTCCATTGATCATGCATTGAGTAAATTCTTTGTAAAAGGACCTGTTTTTTTAAATATTTGTACTTAATTTGAAAAAAGGTAAAGGAACCTATAAAAGAAGCAGAGCTTGTGAAGCTGTATGTCCCATTTTAGGAAAAAATCAGATTTGTATTCAAGGAATGAAAAAGGGGGGAAAATATGAGTTTAGTGCAAAGTGGTGGGTTATAGATGTAGACAAATGCCCATTTACCTGTTACAGCTAATTTGTTGGTATCTAATTACAAAAGAAAAAGAGATGTCAGGCATTCACTCAATAGGGTCTGACAGTGAAGAAGGTAGAAGGTAAACAGGTTTCCTTGCATAATTTGAATACTAGGACCCTGCTAATGTTTAAACGTCACAGATAGGACATACATGACAAATTCATAGTTCCTGCAAAGTTCTACAGAATTTGATGTTGACTGCAAAAGTATAGTAGGGAGTTTTCGCAAGCTCAACGTGGACAAAGAATCTGCGGTTCGTGTGCAAAATCATGAACGGTTTTCGGCCAAAACTACGGGCGTTCTCAATGACACCCAATTGAATCAACAGCCAATCAGCGAGCTTGTACCAAAGATGGTATGAGAGACTGAATCCAGGCTGAATTAGGGGACGGAAAAGAATGATTTAGAATCCTCAGAATTATAGTTAATTGGCCCAGTCTTGCTGATAATAACATGCAGTATACACATGGATTTGTAAATGGGACTACACAAGCAGTGTGGTCCACAATATTGAGTTTTTATTAATCATATTCGAATATGAGAGCACTTGAAGAGCCACCCTTCTTCAGGGAGATACTCTTCCACTCTAACAACAAACAAAATAAGGAAAGGTGATCAAAATTATGTGTCACCTTTCTCAAAAATCACCCTTCTCTTTAATCCGTGAGAAGAAAGATGATGTATTGCTTTGTGTTTGTACCTGAACGAACCCGCAATGGCCTGAATAACCCCTTTCTTTGTTTATTTTCTTTCTTGACAAATATTTCATTGTGACCTGGAAACCACGTATATAGAAGCACCAGACATGTTCATCAGAGCTTAGAAGCACAGCATCATTATGAAGAAATAGTACACACTGCTTTAGGCGGCAAAGAAGCAAAGGCCTGATTCATGATAACTAGTGCAGCACAGATTTTGGTTTCGTTTTAACGAGGATGTTGTTTCTCCAAGTATGAAACACCCCAATCTCGTGAAAATGTCATTATCTGCAAATATTTGTGTTAGATCCTCCCCCTCTCCATTGTTAAACGCATGGTGTTGTGGTCTAGTGGATAAGTCACCCTACTACGAGTCACGTGATACGGGTTCGAATCCCTGACATGAGACTAAATTCCTTTTCCAAGTTATTAATCTATATTTGCCATACTAGACACAAGGTAAGAAACGGGAACCTTTCGGGAATTACAGGAAAATTCAACCTTGATTGCAATCTACTCTAGAAAAAAGCAGACAAATCATAGAAGTGGACTGGTAGAAAATTGAATAAAATTGTTCAAAATATGGTAAAGTAATGAATTTGTCGAAATTTGTAATAACTAAAGGTATTGACTCTTCAAATTAGCCGAATCTCTGTGATGTATAGAGGTGGACAACTTTTCTATTTGTTCCCAAAAACCCAAATTGACAAAAAATTAAATTTGTCCAAATAACTGTATGACTCAGGAAGATCTTTTCTCTTTAGAGAGTACCTGTGA